TGGCCGGGCCATTTAAAAAAAAAAAAAATATATAAAGTGATCTCGCGGGGGCCGGATGTGGCCCGCGGGCCTTGAGTTTGACACATGTGCCCTATGCTGTGATTTAACTGATGGTCCTCTGTGCATCAAAGAAACACAAATGACACAGGTGAGACGAAGCCATTCGGGTGCCACATTTGAATTTTTTATATATATGTATTAAGCACAGCAAATGATGTTCAATAAAATTTAGCATGACCAATCAGATTTTAAGCGTGGCCACCCTAATAAAATGTCTACTTCCATGCTTTTTAGGAGCATTTCTGTATAAACTGGAACCTAAGTCCACACGCATGGACGGTGGCCATATAAATTGCCTCTGAATGTATTTTCTGCACAGCACCAAACCTGACACACCTGCCTGTGACTGGGCAAAACTATCACTAACTTGATTTTCCAATAAGGGCTCCCTGTCATAAATTAACTTTGCCACATTATTCATGAATGTTTTCATATTGTGTTGTGATTACTCATCCTCAGATATTAACCTGCTCATTAATGGAGCCATACTCTGCATCATACAATCTGATTTCCCTGTTGACCTGGGGTGAAGCTGTGCACATGCTTGTACACTCACGGACACACACATACAGCCATTTACATCACATGCTGCACAGGACAATAATATAATTTTAACATTTTGTGCAATTACAAATGAAGTGAATAGGATGTGAAGAAAACTTATTTCAGCTGGATCACTATAAACGCTTGTCCTGTAAATAAACAGTAAAAACAAGGTTAGTTTCCATTTTTTACTCGTAATTTGTCAGTGGCACTGAAAAATAACTTCAAGTCCAATCGTTAATCTAAAAGGCAAAAGACTTAGATGCTTAGACAAAGTGAACAATATGAAAAAGATTTCCATTTGTTTTTTTTTCTTCCTCTTTTTTGTTTGTTTTTGTTTTCATTATCTAGGCAGTGTAAAATCTAGCCAGTCAGACCTGAATAGTACTTTATGCAAAAAGTTGCTCAATAAGACAAGTCACTATAATACAATAAATTTCACAACACTGGCAAGACACATCCTCCCTTCAAACTAAGGTAACAGTCTTAGGTTAAATCTTAGTTGAACTTAAATGGTTATTTTAAAACAGAAAAAGAATACTCTTGAGTCCTTTCAGATTAGACCTGATCAAGTGTCTGCCAATATTCTGCTGACCGTTTTATACAAACGACCTTAAAAGGCAAAACCGAACATATACAAGAACACTCCTGTCATGGGACAAGTGAACATATTCCTTTCTGGTTCACATAGTTTTTCTCTCTTCTACAGCATAAATGCCCAAATTTTTCAAGTGGTGAGTAGCATATTTAGTAGACAGGAGAACATGTATATAATCTAGGTCAAAAACTGGAAACT